CTTAACTTTTGGGATGCAAAATTTGCATAGTTAATGAGTACAAATGAGACAAAAAACATACAATTTGCATCAGAAAAAGAAAAAGCACATGCAAAACTGATCCAGGTGCAAAATTTGTATCTGATTTAGATTTGTACTACAAACAAATAGCCCAAGGAATTTCACAAATTTGGGCCCCATTTGGTGTGTTTTTTTTTTTGTGCGGGCTGTTGGGTTTTTAAAAGCCCGGCAGCTCATATTTTGGTCTTTTCTTGTTTGGTTGGGAAAAGATCTAGCCACAGTCCAGAAAAGACACGAGAAGCCTATTTCTAGTTATTTTTTGGGAAGCTTCAAATGGAGTTTTTCGCCTTTCTTCAATTCATCTTCGCGTAAAAAGATGCACGGGCAGACACACCTTAACCAAATGGTATTCAAGCTGTTAAGATCTTGATGCAAAAGCTCACATCGTCTTTTGACTATTAGAGCTTCCAGAAGAAAAAGATTTGTCAAATGGCCCCAGATCTATGATACAAAGTTTGTTCATGGGTAGATTTTTATCCTCCCCTCCCCCAACTCTCCTCAAAAAGAAAAGAAAAGAAAAGCATGAAAAAAATGCTCTAAGCCTTTGTTTGGAATTATTTATTGCTTCGCAGGCCTACTAATATATATATATATATAAAGTTAAAACAATTAAACAAGCACTTTTGAAGGCTTTGCTTTCACTGATTCTAGTGAAGTAGGTCAATTTCTTTTGCTAATTTATATGGTTCTGTCTCCCCTTTTTGCAAGCAATACAAAAATGCACTGGCTGGACCACTTTGGTTTAACAAAACTATAACGAGTGCATTCTTCTTTTGCAGGACATTTTGAATTGGTTTGTCTTAACAAAGAAGCTACCATGTCTGCAATAAACACTATCTAACGAGTTTGGATCTCCTGAAAGCATATATAAAAAGCATGTAAAACACAGTACTGACAGCATGGCATCCAGACGCACATCGGGAACATAAGGTTTAGAACCTAGCAGCATTCCTTTACCCCGGGGGAGACCATATTTTCACTTCCATCTTCTCATTTGTTCCAACCCTAATTGCATTTGTACTGCTTTTTGAAGCAGTACACTTGATTTAAGGAAAACAAGTGTTATTAAATGATGCCTCCTGATCTTGGAACATATATAGAAAGATGAAAAAAAAAACATGGTGAGATGCACAAGTGAAGCTCTCTGCAATAAATTCTCATTGAATTTGGGGAGTACTTGAGGCTGAAGAAAATCCCTTGCTATAGGGATCTGCTCCTAGTTCATGTAACATACAGAGGTAATGCCCATGATCAAATAAACTATTACATGAAGCTTTAGAAATATTATTGACCTACAAATAAAATATTGCTTTGTGGGTGATTCTCAACTGTTCATTCAACCCCTCCTGAGGTTGGTCATCAAATCAAAATTTGATAATCTTTACCAAGCAAACTAACAATATTATATGTAATAAAATATTGAGAGAAAACAAAGTTGATGGTCTACTAGTAAGCTTCAAGTTGGAGTAGTGAGGGAACTATAGTCTTTTTATGTCTTGATATATGTGAATCACCAAAAGAGAAAGGGTCAATTGACCCATGAATTATTCCAACAAACCATGCAATTATGTTCAATGGCTCATTTGGGTGTTTGAACAAGTGAAACCTTTTGTCTCCCAATAACAATATATATATATATATATATATATATATATATATATATTGCAAAAAGCTAATGATGCTGAGGGTCAACTTATGGATGAATTAACTTGTCATTATCAAAGCAACAGTTTGGGTTTTGGATAATCTCCTCTTTAGAAATTTGCTCAAACAACATTACATTTTGTGTATTTTTTTTCTTGGAAATAAGATTGTTGTGTCTGTATCTTTCCGATGTTGTCAAGTTCAGACCAGACGCAGAACTGTTTTGGTTACTGGGTCATGTGTCAAATGGTCAAACCATCCGGTTTGATCGGTTGACTAGCTCAAAACATGGGTTATTCAGACGTGTTCCAGGTAGGTTTGACCAAGTGGACATTTGTAAGAACCCCAGTTCTGCTGGTCTGGCTTTCCAATCCCGTCCAAAGTCTGACAACATTGCATCTTTCTTGGTGCGCGTTTGGGAGGGTTGAATCACAGCATTTAATTTATAATTGGTGAAAAATCCAAAGACCCCAAATCAGTTGTCAGTAAGTCATTTTTTTGGACTGTCTGTTTCAGCCTCTTTCGATAGCTTATTCGGAATCGGAGCACTTAAAAGCAACTGAGCTGACTTAGCTGAATCCTCGGCTCAGCACTCCCAAACGGGTGCTTAATAGCTCCTTTATCTTTTCTTTAATTTACACCAACAGATCTATTCTCCCTTCTCAAATTCCAACCCGAATCCAAGGACAGAGCTAGGGGGACCTAGAAGAGCCATGGTCCCCCGGCCCCCCACAAGACCCAAAATCTCCATTCATGGTTGGCCTCTGTCCATGTTTATTTATTTCTCTTCCTCCATGGTTGCCCCCATGGCTCTATCATCCATTCTCCACGGGTATGAATCTGCTACCAACAAAATGCTATCAGTCTTGTCCCAATTATAGACCAAGGTTTTAAAAATTGATCCAGAATTAGAATCACTTTGGCCGCTATTTTCAGGTCAGTGGTCTGATAATTTGGTTTGAATGGATGATCTATTCTAATTTAGAAAATAAAAAATAGTTAACAATTATTGTCTGAATCGAACAAGCCAACAGTTCGACCACCCGGATCAATAGGATACTGATCAAGTCAACTATTTTTTACCAAAGAGTAGGATAAAGGTGAAACAGAGCCAATTGCTTAGATGATTTTCAAGCCAAACAGAGCCAACCGGTACCATCATTAATTTTACCATTAAAAATAAAGTTATGGAATTTAAACTGTTAAAGCATCCAAATTCATGTTATTTCAAATCACTGAAACTCACTCAAAATTAACTTTGGCAGTGCAAAAAATTTGGATTGATTTGATGTATGAATAATATGTAAAGTAGGGTAATATTTGGTCTAGATCTTGTTAGGGACTAAAGGAATGAGAACCACAGGAATGGCTCTAGGGCTTGCTTAGAGTAGGCTTTGCTTGCTCTTGCTACTCTCTCGCACGAGCTTCCTCGTCGCCAGCCATTGAAAGGCGTAAAAGAGCAATAGACTTCTCTTTACTGGATTCTGTATTTACATGCTTTCTTAAAGGTATTCATTCCGTTTCGCTACAAAATGAAGGGAAATTAAGAGAACAGAATTCCTTTTTATGCGAATAAATTTGGGTTGTTGCCTTGTACAACCATAGTACAAGCATGATGTCTGCTTGAACCAGTTGAATCGTTCAAATCGTGATTGGGTCACAGGTTTTACACTAAATGTGTATGCAAATCTCTAGAGAATGAGATCGACTTCAGTCACTACAAAGTCCGTTCGAACACTGTCTGAACAGCCTTTTCAGCCTTGCATTGAGAACATTTCTATACTTTTATGCTTTATTTCATGGGGAGATATTTCCAATACAAGGCTATGATGGTTGTTCAAACGGGCCTTGCAGTGATTAAATCCCATCACCTCTATCTTATACCAACAAAGCACATTTCAACCCTCTACCAATATCATTTCACACCACACATCTTAACTTGAGATTGGGACCCACTATAAAAATGGAACCTGCCATGTATGAGATGTGCAGCGTGAGATGATGTTGGTATAGGGTTGGAACATGTTTTGTTGGAAGGTGATCCGGTCTCATTTCTAGAGGCCATAACTTTACACTCTGATGTTTAAAATGGGGTATTTTTTTTAGGATATTGCCATATTAGATAACTTTTCCAGATCTATGTGTCTTAAGGTGCCTCTGCTATTTTTGAAAAAAAAAATTATTTTGACTTTTGATTCATCCAACCCAAACAATTCAACTAATGATCCATGGCCCGGAGGCAAAAATGGTTTGACTTCCACGTCGATTGTTACAATGCTTTCAATCCACCATTGACTTATACTGTTCAAACTGTCACCAAATTACAATTCTAGATCTGGTTCTCATAAAACCCTGGAGTCCCTTAAACCATCAAAATTAGATAGTTGAACCATGGACCCAATTAACGTGGATTGTTGGATAGGTTTTATATATATTATATTAAATACATATGCTGATATGTCATAGTCTGATCTATTCACCTAAATGGTTGAATTGGTGACCGTTCAAGTTGTTATTACCATAGATAATTATAATCTGGTCAGACCAAATTAGATCTTTTTTATATCCACCCTATCCTGAAGTGGAGGACTGGAGTCAATTTGGGGAACTCTTAAAGTCCTAATGCTAATGGTTATTTACAGTGTTTTCTTAATCAGATCAGATTAGATGGTTGGATCGGAAAAATGGGAAATTGTCATTTTATCGGTTCCATTTTATCTCAAAATCGTTTTTTGGTAAAAAAATTGTTGATTTAGTTGATAAATTACTGATTTAAGCAGTTGAACCGTTGACCAAACAACAATTTTTAACCATTTTTTTAATTTTTTATTTTTTATTAGAGTGGGTAGTCCATTCGACCTGGGAATTGGACCCAAAACGATTCCCTATCCAGTCCGGTTTAAAATCCTTGGTTATTTGTACGAGGAAGTGTGGGTTGATGGGTCGGGTCGGTCCGGGTCAATGGATGAAACCGCAAAAATGCCCTTTTCCGTTTGTTTAAATGAAATTGACCACTATTACTAGTAATCACATCTGATTTATGCCGAAAAGGCTGTTGATTGGTGTAACAGCTTATTATTATTTCATCGAGAAAATAAATAAAACAAATACAAATACAGAGAAAGAAAAAGAAGGAAGAAATGGAGGGAGAGACCGAGAAAAGACGAACCAAACGGTCGAGAAGTTGAGGGTATTGTACCCCAACACCAGACACATGGGACCCACCACCATCACTACCTCCACCAAACAGCCTCTCTTTTGTCCAATACAGACACCTTACATACACACATCCTCCCTTCAAACAAAACAAATACGTTTCTTCTCTCCCTGCCTCTGTCTCCTATTCGAGTCTGTGACTCTGTCCTTCCTACTCTTTCCCTTCTTTCTCTTTAAGCCTTAAATTAACCCTCTCTCAAGCCCTTCAAATCTCTCTCGGAATGCAACATCTCAGCTCTTGAGGTCTTCTTCTGCTTTGGCGTCTAAGCTGCTGTTTGATCTCTGAGAAAAGTTCAAATGGAAGGTGCTTTGGGGTTGTTGGGTGGTGGTGGTGGTGGTGGTGGTGGCGGGGGTTCATCGGGAGGCTCGACAGATGGGTCGATGTCGACGGTGTCCAAGGCAGAAGTGGTGGAGCAGGACTATGTGGGGTTGATGTCTGAAGTGTCTTCCTACCCAGCTGAGGCTGAGCTTGAGTTGGGTCTTGGGTTGAGCCTCGGGGGTGCGGTGAAGTCCAATCATTGCCCCTGGAGGGAGTATGGCAGAATCCTGACTGCTAAAGATTTCCCGTCTGTGGTTTCTCGTGGTTCTTCTGCCTCTTCTTCTTCGTCTTCCGGTAGAGCTAATACGTCTGTGACTGCTATCACTGGAACGAAGAGAGCTGCTGATTCTGTTGCTCAGGAGGTTGGTCCGGCTAATGGTGCCAGGTAAGATTAATGGGTCCTTGGTCTCTTTGCTTTGGGGTTTTAGATGCAACCTTTGATGATTTGACACTGTTTCGTTGATGTAATTGTTTGCTGATTTTATCGTTACTTTCTCCTTTGTTATTTCTTTTACTTTTACCCCTTTTGGGAAGATATGTTGTTTATTTTATATATTTCATTTGTTCTTTCTTTGAAATTTGTTTTCCTCACGTTTCCTTCTGAAATTTTATTGTCCTTTATTGAGCTTCATAGGTTATGATCCGATTTTGTAGCTGTGATCTTCCATGACCTAACCCTTTTTTTGGATGATGTTTCCTTAGTTCTCATTACTCGTTATAAATCGAAATCAGTGATTTGATTTGATGATGCTGATCACTGATGGGATTTATTTCCTCATTTGAGTTATCTTTTTTACCTTTCTTCTCAATGGGTGAGGCTTGGATGTTTTCTTTTTCTTTTTTCTGTTTTCCGCTTGAAGTTTTATAAACTTTTATGGAGTTTCATGATCGTGGTCGAAGAATCAAGATAAACTTCTGTATCTTTATTCTGAATCCACCCCTTCCCTCAAATAAAGAAATATCCAGGTTTGATTGTTTTTCTCATTAATTTTGTACTACTTTACTTGTTGATTTATATTATCACTGCTAGTTCTACCAAGTGTTAATCATCAGTGCAATTTGTGTTTCATTGAGCAGTCAGGTTGTGGGGTGGCCACCCATAAGGGCTTACAGGATCAACAGCTTGGCTAGCCAGGCGAAGGCGTCAACTGTTGAAGAAGAAGATAGCACAGCTATTGGGAATGGTAGAAGTAAGGACTCTGCAAGAAAGAATATTAATGGCACTAGCAACAAGAACAATGGCAATGTTCAAGAGAATGGGCGCCTGAGAAGCTCCCTGTTTGTGAAGGTGAATATGGACGGACTGCAGATTGGGAGGAAGGTGGATCTCAATGCTCATGTTTGCTATGAGACCCTTGCACAAACATTGGAGGAAATGTTCCACAGACCCACCACAACCGTCAATGCTATTCGTGAGTTCCCATACATTCCTGGTTTGTTTTTTGATTTTAGAAATCAGAGTCCAATAAAGGATTTGATTCTTGAGTTTGACATGAATTAACCAGATTCCTAGACAGTTAATTAGGAAAGCTAAGTCTATTATGGATGATGAATTTTTGCATAAAGCTAACCTGTCTATTAAGTGTGTTTCTTTGACATTAAGTTGATCAATACTGCCTGGATAATCTTGCAGTATCACCAAGTGTTTAATCCTTGCACCGCATGATGTCATTTGTTTTTTTAATTGTATGCATTTGGATATGGATGGTGTGATCCAATGTTGACAGACTTGACACAAAACCGTTTTGGTCCCTGGTTTACGGGTTGAACAGTTGAACTACCCTGTTTGATCGTTCAGTTTGAAAAATTATAAAGTGGTTTTAGATGTGTCTTTTAAAGCTATTTTATATTAAACTAAGCTTAAAGCAATAAATATTAGATGTTAAAAAACCTATTAAAACAAGTATTTGGAGTAAGTTTGACGGAGTCAAAACTTAAAAGAAACCAAACGAGCAGGAATCATTTTGGCTCCTGGTTCCCAGTTTGAATGGTCTGACCATCCTGTCCAGTCTGGCAACACTGGTCTGATCTGCTTACTAGTTATAAATTGGTATATTGCTTTCTTGTATGATGATTGAAACTTGTTTTGTGTAATTAGGTTCAAGTGGAGAGAACGAACATGCAGTGAAGCCCTCCAAACTGTTGGATGGATCGTCTGAGTTTGTGCTTACCTATGAAGACAAAGAGGGAGATTGGATGCTTGTTGGAGATGTTCCTTGGGGGTATGCATCCTTTCTATTTATTGCAAGAGAGATGCTCCTACAAACCAGGCACTATGACATGAATGTGGCTGCTTGTGTGTGTGTGTGTGTGTTTGTTTTACTTCTGTTTTTTTTTTTGGGGGGGGGGGGCGTTGGTAAAGTTGATTTATGCTGTGTGAGACTATGCTTTTGCACAGTTTAGGGTTTGGGACATTTATGTGCTCTGCTTTGGTAGGGTATGTGCAAATTGGACAATAGGGATATCTGCCTTTGGAGTAGAGTTGAAAAGGAATCAGTGGCACAATTCTTTCAAGTTCCCAGGTTCTGCCATTTGGTTCAAAGAATGCCATTTAGCTGATCTGTAGACTTATGGAATTGTAGCTTCCTAAAAGAAAAATGAATCATAGCTTCCTGAAAGAACAGAAAAAAAGATTAAATAGATAACCATTTGGAAAATTTGCTTATCTAATTCCATGCTTGGTTAGAATTCAATTAATTCTCATATATTTGACTACATTCTCTTTTATGTATCCAGGATGTTCCTTAACACTGTGAAGAGACTTAGAATCATGAGAACCTCTGAGGCCAATGGGCTTGGTATGTAGATGTCATATCAACATTCTATTTTCCAATTTTCTCCAGCCTTTTATTTTTATTTCCTCTGTTTAATTAGTAATTACCTATTTTATTGATAAAGATGACATTTCTTTCCGAAAATAATAGTTAATCTGTTGCTTTTGCAGCTCCAAGATATCCAGAAAAGGATCAGAGACAAAGAATCAAGCCCATCTAGGTCCATAATTTTCCTTTTCTTGGTAAAACCCAGTAAGAAGAAGAAAATCTACAGTTACAGTGAAAATGCAAAGGAGAAAACAGAAAACCGAAGATTCAAAGTATTTTGTTCAGTAAAGATCAGTCTTCCACCACTTATTTGTTTGCCTTTTCTGTTATCCTTTTTTTGACCCGTTTCCTGGGTATCATAGCCTTTTTTTTGTTGTAAGGCATATGTGTTTTAGTTTTCAGAATCTCTTATGTAGTGCCATAATGCACACTTAGCTGAATTCTGCTTTCTCATACTGTAAATATGGGACTGCTTGATTTCTAGGGTTTTTTTGAGTTTTATGCAACCTGAGTGGACTCATGTTTCCTTTGTCATGGTTTCTGATGCTAAAGGTTTCCATTATGTTGTGATTTCTTCTGTTACATTTCATTGTTTTGTCTGGAGAAGATGTAACTTATCCATTACTGTTGGGCTTGGAGCTAACCTGGGAAGGTCTTTCTAATAATTTATTTCTTTGAAATAGGCATGCCTAACAATTGGAAGGGACCTGGGACCATATGATAGCAATAATTTGATAAAACAGTCTGGTGAAGTGGTGATCCCCTAGATCTCATTATGGCAAATACATTAATGGACTCTGTATATTTATTCCATCTCAGGATGGCAGTAATAAACATCCTTGGTGCCTCCAAATCATCCTAGAAATAAGGCTATCTTAACATGCGCATCACCATGTGAAGTGCACTAATAGGTGATGAAATAAATAGAGTTGATTAAACTGGATTGTTTAAATATTAGCAATACTATCTGATGTTCATCCAGTATTTTCCTTTGTTGGTTCAATGATAAACCCAGGGGTCCTGCAAAACAATGTAATGCTGCAATTTTTCCATCGAGAGTTTGACTTGACAGTGCACATGTAAGGAGAATATGGCAATGGAAAATTTTGATGTGTAACATGTTGATAATGAAGAAATAGAATATCACTAAAATGGTAAATGCAGCAGGGAGCTTAGGTGCTTTGATGACACCTAATCTGTCATTGTAGTTGGGTGAATTATTTTTTACAGTGGTTGAGTTTCTTGTAATCAAGAATGAAATTAAAATTAGTAGATATTGAAGGTTGTGCCGAGAGGAGAAAACTGAATATCTCTTCTTTTATGATCCATAATACTAGCCTGAACGTGGAAGTAGACCAACAAACAACCTGGTTGTATCAGGGACTGGATTGATTGTAGAGGCATTTATCTCTACAATTCAGAAGAAAAATATCCTTCTGTACCACCACCAGATGCTGGGCTTTAGTCCTTCAAAGCTTGGTTATTTTATGTATTAAGAAACCTCTGCTCTGCTTTGTCAGTATTCATGAAGAAGCTCCTAAAGCCTGCACAAAGGATTGATTCTGGATTTATAGTCCTTGGTCCTGACAACAGTTTTTTCTTTTATTCTTTTTTTTGTGTTCTGGGTACTGGCATGACTTTCACTAACTGACAGCAGAAAATAAAGAACCTCCTTCAGGCTTCAACTTTCAGCCACTGCTTTTGGTATGGTACCCTTGTAATGGTTTCATTCATTCTTTTTAATCTATTTGTGTCCCCCAGGGCAGAAGAACCATCATTATACATTTATAATGAGACCAGAACAGTGAGAAACATGGCTGGTATCATTGCTTTTGGGACATCATCTGCAATTCTGAGAAGCTTCGCTTAGGAGGAAAATACAGTCTGATAGAAACATGTCCATTTGAGAGAGAGAGAGAGAGAGATGAAGGTATTTTGACTTGACTATTAGCACTTTTCATCATCATTCATCAGTGAGTGGCCGATGAATTGATTCCCCTGAATCAGCACCTGAATCGATTCTTGATTCAGTGTGAGACGACCTGTAAATCGAAGAGAATGAAGTCAATCACCTTTTTCATCTACTTATACATTAAGGACCACCTCCCATAAGCACCAATTGCATCCGTTTGATCTACTTGATCTTAGACTTTGGTTTTTGGTGGGCCCAATTGACATTCCATGGGGTGGGTCTGGGTTAGGGGTGGATTTGAGCTGAGCGGAGCCAGGAAAACTGTGAGGCTTGAGTTCGAGCTCAAACTTGAACTCGATTTGAGATAGGCTCGACTTCGAGCTAAAACTTGAACACGATTTGAGCGAGACTTGGCTCAAATTCAGCTTGACTCAACTCGTAAGTTCGAGCTCAACTGTGAGCTTTAGCTCAGTTTAGGTGAGTCTCATGAGCCTAGCCTTATTGAGGTCGAGCTTGTCTCAAAGCTCGGTTTAGACTGAGTTCAATCAAACTTTTTCACGAGCTTAATTGAAATGACTTGTAAAAAGCTCAACTCCTGTTCACCCTTAGTTTGGGTGTTATTGACTTGTTGTAGGGCTCGAAAAAATCTAAGACCCTGATAATAATGGTTCATATATTTTATTCTGACTAGTAAGTGTGTACGTGTTTTCCATGTGGCAATTCTAAAATGATGATATGGTAGTAATAATGTATCAATTTTTTTTTATAAAATTTATGTATTTTTCATATATATTTTTTGGTTTTTCATTAATAATTGGATGTAGGTTGCAAAATCCAAATTTGATTATGTAGACACCTCATATTGGGTTGCAAAGTTTTTGGGTATCTTTGGCAAGCCTACATGCTTGGTTGGTCTCTTCTTTTTGTAATGTTTTATCTTTTGAGTGTATTTTTTTTGTTCATTAATAAAAAAAAATGTAAGACTTAAAGAGAGGGAATTAAATGAAGTGAAAAGTAGTAGTCCAAATTACGTTTTAAATCTCAATCTTATTTAAAAATGGGTATTTTAGTCAAAATAAAGTTCCACAATATTATTCATATATTTAATAGTAGTGTGAATATAGAATTATAGATGTGTTCAATTTTTTCTATAATTTTTTATTTCTGTGTGTAAAAATAATTCTATTATGTACAATCACTTTTTGTTTAATATGATTTTATATATGTGCCCAAATATTTTTTTTTGTAAAATTTATGTATTTTTTCTTTTTATATTTTATTAATTTTTATTATTTAATTATGACATTAAAGGTTGACACATTTGACTCAAAAGTTGAACTATTGATTAATCTCCACCAAATAGGAAAATAATTTCATTCTTGGTTAGTTTTGAATTATGAAATTCATTTTCATCATCAATAAACTAATTCTTGTTTATTACACATTGTTTTAATTTAATTAATAAAAATATCATAAATGTGTCTAATTTTCCTACATTTTTATAGTTTATGATATTTATTTATATTTAAAAAATTTATTATTTGACTATGACTTCATGATTTGACTAATTTGATTCAGATGGTTTTATTGCTTAATCATCACTTGGATAAAGAATGGTTTTGTTTTCAAGTAAGTTTTAAAATATATAGGGTTTATATTGTTAAAACTACTAAACATAGATCTAATTAGTAGCATTTATTAGTGAAAAAATAACTTAAATGTAAGATTTAATAAGAGAGAATGAGAGTTAATGCCTTAAAAATAAAACTTAATGAGAGTAGATTAAATGAGGTGAAAAGAATTAATTGGAATTACTTTTTCAACTCTCATAATTAGAGATGAACTAAATATACAGATATAGACATTTTAGTCAAGAAAAATTCTACACCCTCATTCATACTTTTTATAATAGTATAGATTTAGTCACATTGTAAAGGGCAGATTCAGCCCTCATAAAATTATGCTCACACCATTCTCACAACCCTTTCTCGCCATGCATTGGGAACATCTTTGAACACAACTTTGTGATAACCAAATCCGATTTCCACATTGTATGATTGTATCATTTTTCTCCTACACTTCAATTATTTATTTGAATGAAAGAGGGAATTCCAGCAAGACAGCCTTGTAACATAGCAAAACAATTATTTTTTTGTATCATCACTGCTTCATGCCTAAAATTGGTGATGCGTATGACTCATTTATATAATAATAAAGTTGAGAAAAGTAAAATGCTAAAAATATGTTAATATAATACTTTGCAGTATTCAATAAAAGCTGGTTGTTTGGTTGGTTATAAACATAACAAAACAATTTATACTTAAACAATACTTCTCTGTTTTTCTCTTACGCAATAATATACTAAATTGTATTCTGTATATATGAAAAATAATATAGGATTAATATTAAAAAGAATTTATATCTATACTTTATATAAAATTGTGAATGTAATGTGAAACAATTTTTGGACTATCATAATCATCATTTATAATTACCACGTGCAAAACATGTGCACACTACTACTGTAATGAAATGGAAATATAGTTGACTATAAAAATTGTGCTTTATACACAAAGCGTGTGTAATATAGTATAAATTACTAGCAGGGACCCATGCGATGCATGTGCTTTGTTAAAAGAATTTAAAACAAAAGGAGATAGTGATGCAACTTGGGTGAGCCCAACCTGAGCCCTACCCAACTCAACCAAAGCTTTTGCATAGGTTGGTCTTGAGTTTCCGAACTTCAAGCTGGTCTTGGTAAAAACACTTAATTCCTAACCTAAATTCAAGTTGGGCTTGAATTGAGGCCTTGGGTTGCCCAACCCAACCCCAATTTGAGCCCACCCAACATTTTATGATATACATATCTGCATGTCATCAATCTATTCTACCTAAAAATTAGGCCCAAGTCCAAGCCCAACCCAAGATTTGGGTTGGTACACTCAAGCTTAACCTTGAGTTGGGCCAAGCCTAAACTCGAGGTTTGATACTTAGGGTTGGGCTTGGGTTGACCCTCAACCCAACACAACTCACCCAAGTTGCACCCCAAGAAGTAGCATTGTAATTTTCCTAATTGTATTAGTTTTTATTTTTTTATTAAATTGTTTTGACTTTTACTAAATTTTTATTTAGTGGATTAGGGGATTTTAAATTAATAATAATTAAGTTTAAGACAAATAATTTTGTTAATTTTTTAATTCTATTAACAAACTTTTAGGGTCATTTTATTTTTTAAATGAAATCGAAATAGATATCAAAATATAAAATTTAATTTTGAAACTAAATTTTTCTTACTTTTTGTTATTTTATTAATAAACATGTATTAATTTGTATTAACTTTATTTTTAAATAAAACTTTATTAATAAAATTATATTAAAATAATTTTTACTAATTTATATTATTCTTCTCTATATTTTATTATATTATTAACTTAATTAGTTAACTAATTTATTATGTTATTAATTAATTGATTAACTTATTAAATAAGTTTTAGTAATTAAGTTATAATTGGTTAACTAATTATATAATTATCTTATTATTTAGTTGATCTTTTTAATTATATAATCATTTTCTAAGTGAACTAAATTTGTTAAGTTAATTCATGCAATTAAGAAACTAATAACTAATTAATTAACCTTAGTTAATTAATTTAATTCAGTTAAGGTTTATTG